AGCACATATAAGGGGGGAAGAGTGGCGACGCATTCTCTGCCCGTTGAAATTTCACTGCTCCCTGCTGACTGCTGCGTCGGGGCGGTCGTGCATAAACGGAACAGCAGCAGCAGTTTGCATTAGCTTCACGTGAGCATCGATCACGTACGACGGATGGGGGACGTGCGGTTCTTCTATTAGTCGGGTGAAGAGTGTAAAGAGATGCGTGGAACTACGAAATGCTGAATGCCGATGTCTCGATTCAAATTCACGGGCTGCTGCTTCGAGACTGCGTGAGGCAGAGTTTGAAATCACCGAGAGCAGTTTGCCTCGTCAAACAGAATGTTTATCGACAACATATTGTACCGCCGCGACAAGGATCGGTGGTCGCCGGATGTCTGGCCACGAATTCCGCCATGTTTTTCTTTTCCCACTGAGCCAATTTGCCGATTGAAATGTGGGAGACCAGGTTTGCTTGCGATTAGCCATGTAGGGCCGAATCTTTCCTTCATCACGCGCCCCGTGTAATTTAGCGTGTAAACACAACAAAGGTATAATTTTCTTGCCGTCGACGAATCGATGCGGCTAAGTCGGTTCACGATCCGAGTTTACAATAATGATAAAATCCATTCGGCGCAGCCAGTTCGCTAACCTCTGTACTCTCTGTAAGGAAAGCCAATACCCCTCAGGAAATACTTGCCGACACAATTCAATATATCGGCTCTAGTCGCACGTAACATCGGCTATACCCGACTGCCAATGAAGGCAACACGAATTTTCCTCTTCTCCCCGTCGTTTCGCGATGATCGCGTTCACTAAACACGTTAGTATATAAAAAGGAATTCGGCCGTTTTAGGTTGAAATTGTCCGCCGATTATAAACGAGCGGACCAGGCTAGTTACGAAGCGATCTTCAGAGAGAGAGAGAGACAGACAGGGAGAGATAAGAGAGAGAGCAGAGAGAGAGAGAGAGAGGAGAGAGAGAGAGCGAGAGAGAGCGAGAGCGCTAGCGCGAGAGAGAGAGAGAGAGAGAGAGAGAGAGAGAGAGAGAGAAAGAGGTAGCAGCGTCGCTACTCTTCCCCTTATATGTGCTGACGTCGTGGCAGCGTCGCTACTTCCTCCTTTATATGTGCTGACGTCGTGGCAGCGTCGCTACTTCCTCCCTTATATGTGCTGACGTCGTGGCAGCGTCGCTACTTCCTCCCTTATATGTGCTGACGTCGTGGCAGCGTCGCTACTTCCCCCCTTATATGTGCTGACGCCGTGGCAGCGTCGCTACTTCCTCCCTTATATGTGCTGACGTGGTGCTAGCGTCGCTACTTCCTCCCTTATATGTGCTGACGTCGTGGCAGCGTCGCTACTTCCTCCCTTATATGTGCTGACGTCGTGGCAGCGTCGCTACTTCCTCCCTTATATGTGCTGACGTGATAGAAGCGTCGCTACTTCCTCCCTTATATGTGCTGACGTGATGACGACGGGAGACATATATAGAGAAACTTCTCCTCGACGGCACGTCTCCCTCATTATCTCCCACCACCACCACCGCAGCCGAACCACTTTGGCGCACGAAACTCACTTTAACCTCCTGTTTTTCAGCGAGCGATAAAAATCCGTGTCTGCTATTTGAGCCGGTCTGTCTGGCAGAGACCAAACTGCTGGTTTTCGTCTGCGCTGCCTCAGCAGTCTCCGGGCACGAGGATATACCATTCCTTACTTCACACTTGTTGGAGAAGAGACCGCTGAGCGACAAGATCGAACAGTAGACATGCCAGGCTAGTAAAACCGGCGCGAAAACACGCCCGAGATAGATGCTTCGCTGGTGCAACGCTCGCTGCTGCTGCTGTATTTAAATATGAGTCTGAGATTCCCTCGGGATCTCTCTGCAACCCTCCGGCCCTGTTCCTTCTGTCTTCGCTAAAGGCATGCAGCGTACGTGCTGGCTGCTGTGTGCAGATTAAAACGTCTCTCTCTCTTTCATTCTCTTTTTCTATCTCTTCCTCTCTCTCTCTCTCTCTCTCTCTCTCTCTCTCTCTCTCTCGCCCTCTCTCTCTTTCTTTCGCTCTCTCCCTCTCTCTCTTTCGCGCGCTCTCTCTCTCCCTCGCTCTCTCTCTATCTTTCTCTCTCTATCCCCTTGCCTACAGGGGATGCATCAGTTGTTCTTTTCCAGTCGCGTCCCCTGAAGAGTCGAACGGTATTATTGACGGAATGCGATGGGCTATTTACCTAATCGACCAGCGACTTTAACGGTTTTACGTATTTATTCTAGATCTGGCGTGCTGAGAGAGTGTAAAACCTGTCCGCTAGTAGAGATGCACGCATGTTTGGATTGAAGCGTACATGCATTTATATGCACGGGAGAACTAGAACTGAAAAGGAAGTATAATGTTATTCATCCCGGTTACCCCAGTTTAACTCTTTCGCTGCGTACGTGTTTAAAAAATACACATTCAGCGCAATCGTCGTTATATAGGGTTGCAATCGCAATACCGATGTAAATTCCTTCCAGCTGTGAAAACAGAATGGATTCGCTGTTAATGGCAAACAGCCTTTGCATGTATCCATGCTGCCTGTGTTACTCATTGCGGAACGCTCCAGGCCTCTGTCTGTATATTCTCGCTGATTACGTTGCTGGCTGAGCTTGCGTTCTAATGAGCTAGGTTTTCGTTTAAACGGTTACGGACACAAGCTTACTGAGTTACGCAGACTATTAAATATGTGATTGTGTGGCATGCGCGCGTGTATACGTGCGTGCGCGCCTCCATATTTGCGTTTATTCACGTGTGTGCGTGCGTGCGTGCGTGCTTTTGCACGAGGTACGTGCCTGAGTGTGTGCGTGCTTGCTTGTGAACGAGGGACGTGCCTGAGTGTGTGCGTGCGCATATATATATGTGTGTGTGTGTGTGTGCGTGCGTGCGTGCGTGCGTGCGTGCGTGCGTGCGTGCGTGTGTGCGTGTGTGTGTGTGTGTGTGTGTGTGTGTGTGTGTGTGTGTGTGTGTGTATATATATATATATATATATATACATCTGTGGAGTTTTCCCCTGGCGTGAGTGCGTGACTGGTTTGAATCAGAGCCGACCGACGGATCGCTATCGAGCCGTGCTCTACATGCTGCGTAGTGAAGCTTCGATATAGTTTTTCACCGTGCCTCCGAAGCCTGCACTCCGCGAAGCCACAGCAGCAGTCCTACTTCATACATCACGGCGCGTTGTTGGCCATTAGCTCTAAATATGATACGTAGCATCTGCTGCTTCGCTCTAACAAATACATGCTCCGCAGCGCGAGACAGTGGGCCCCGCGAATGCTCACCTAGTTTATTCAACCTCGGCGAACAGTTTAGATACCCAAGCGGAGAACAACAACAAACTATACTGTGTAGCTGCATGACTCGTCGGGCGGCGGCCATTTTATTTGACGGTTAAAGAAATGTGTAATTTTAAAAACGCCATCGCGCGCATTTGATTTCGACGTGATCCGCCTCGCATTTATATTCATACATGAAGCCAGGCGCGTACATAAGCCGTTAGAAAATTGCCAGGATGCTAACGTATAGAACGCATGCATGGCAACGCGTCCGGCGCGCACGTTCTCTAACATATAGCCGAGTGGTTTCACGGAAGGCCGCCGTTTTCTATTTACGTCTATAGTGTGCTGTGCAACCCTACACCACAACATCAATGTTGGGCCCGAAACCCCCGCTGAACACAACATACAGGCGCGGGTCTATGTTAGCCGAGCATTACCGCGAGCAGACCACCAGCTACAGCTGCATGCTCTGGCGCTGAAAACACCAAATACACACGTCGGGGTCTGACCCACATATCCCTACATAAGCCGCTAGTCGTGCACGTAGAGCCACGTAGGCGCTCTGTCGGGATATAACGGACTATTAAGGGGGTAATTAATGCACGGAAGGCCGTCGGTTTGCCCACATGGTCATCCGAACTCGGACAACGTGTGCTTATCGTATCACGCAGACAACTTCCCCTATCCATTATCACAAGCATTATCGCCACACAGTAATCTCTCTAGTAATGATTCTACCTATATGTATCTGTATCTATCTATCTTGCTAGCTAGCTAGCTAACTATCTTTCTTGCTATCTATCTATCTATTCATCCATCTATCTACCTATCTATCTATATATATATTCAACCATTTCTCCATCTTCCATTTATCGTATCTATACATACATATATACACTTATACACAGATATGCAACAGTGTAGCGACATGAACGTTGTAACTATACTGCAGGCACGATTACTAGCTTGCCTCGCAGCTTACCTTTACAGGTGAACGAGATCACAGCAACGAGTATCCACACTAGAAGACCGGCTGCGTCCTGCGCGAACGACATCTTTCAGCACTGCGTGCAAGTCAGCCGTACCACCGTCGTCAGGACGTGGCGACGAATACTTCCCGCATAGGGGATCTATCGCCGCTGCTGTTCTACCGGGTTTCGAATCGCGCTGCCCCGCCGAGGGGCACACACTTACGGCCGAGCAGGAGAAGAAGGATGAGAGCACGTTTGTCGATTCTTTGTCAGGATATACACAAGCACGAGAATCGTCGCTGAGGCGATGATGATTTCAGGCGGCGATTTCGTGCAGCCATGGTGTCTGCTCGGAGCGCAGCCACTCAGTGGCTGGTCGCCCCGTCGATGCGAGAGCCAGCGCGCGCGGTGCGCGTTAAGTGCCTGCTGGCGGTTCGCATGCACGCGTGTATTCGTTTCTGCAGCTAGCACGAGGCCGCCTCGGAGGAGGAACGAAAGTAGGAGCAGCAGTCGGTGGGGGTGCGGAAGGGGAAAATTAAACTGAACGCCGCCGCCGCCGCCTCAGAGCCCATGCCACTGTAGAGGAGTGCGCAGATGGCAAAGGTCTTTTCGGGGCGTATAGAGTCAGTGAGGCGCATACGACGCCCGACCCCTGGCAGCCGAACGCGAATCTATACGCGCCTTCGTGACGACGCGACGACGTGTGCCGCCGACACGCGTAGTGCACTTATACTGGCAACTATTGGAACACCGCCGCACCGCTACGGAATCGAATAAATCTCAATCGGGAACGACTTGATCGACAAAACGACTCGGGTCGATGTCGGAACATCGGTTCTGCCGTTTTGCTCTTGATAATCACAGACGAAAGCGCGCTCGATTGCCTGGCCTTCCCCCATTCTCACCACAGAGATCACGAGACCAGTGACTATTACGCCGCCATAACAAACAAGAGAACAATTTTCATTTCTGCATGTTGCATGTGAGATTGGCCTTCCCCCACCCCCGATCCTCTCTCGCGGAATCTCGTGGGTAATGGCCAGCAGCGCGGCTGCTGCTGCAGGCGGCACCACTGATGACTGGCACGCACCACTAATCACCTACTTCTCAGAGGTCAACACCATGCACGCATTTGATACATCTCTCCCGCGGGGAGCGGCGGCAAAGCAGTGAGATCGACGCGATGATAATCCGATGCCCACCGCATTTTTGTCTCCTCTCTAATTACGGTTATTTACGCAATCTTCTCCGGGGCGCGTCGGCAAGACACGGACTCGATCGACCCGCATTAACTTTACATGAACCTCGTCCGCCGTCTCGCGATGGTCCGTTTCGATCCGATATCGGATAGGAACGAACGCGCGAGAATATTCATAGATCGATACGGAGGAAGCAACCGTAGACGTCGCTGCTGCCTTCATCAGACACCTACTGTTCGATATGAGTCGCCGTCATCGCCGCGCGCGCCGCGCATCCGCGTAAGTGGGCCGAGACGAGACTGTCGCCAAAAAAATCAGGCAGGCAGCAGAAGAATACGCCTGCGTCATCGAATCGATTTCGTTACACAGCGCGGCTGTGACTGCTGCCAACCTTCTCCCGACGCCGACGCAACCACGTGCCCCCCCCCCCGGTTAAATATGTCCGCGTTCGCGCATTGTAGTAGTAGTAGTAGATAGTGTAGTAGTAGTAATGGAGCGAACCTTACTTTTGATTTGCCGTTAAAGATTCGAACGTTTACTTCGAACACGCGACGAAATAAAATTCGTTGGGCTTGCCCTCGTAACGAGCACGCGCGGGTTGGCTGCCCGCTAACAATGGTCTGTGTGGGCTGCCGCGTGGGCGGCAGGGCAATGGCGATCCACTGCAGCCACTAGACAAGGCAAACAACAACACTCTCTTCACTACACGAAGCCTCAATTCAAGCTCCCTGATGCGTTTACTTAGACCGTGTCAGATGTCGTCGGGGTGCTTGCAGTAATCTCGGGGCCAAAGTGCGCAGGTTTCGCAGCGCTGAGTCGCGTTGGAATTCCGCGTATGTCTTCTCTTGCGTATGTCATCCGCTATAGATGGTGTATAACAACAGAGGGCGTTCAAGGGCAGCAGGCCTGAATAAGCATCGAACAGAAATTAATAAAAAAAATATTTATCTAGAGAGTTTCGGCGTATACGCGACAAAGACTTTATTCATGACAAATCACTACTGATTCAAAGACCGATCTTCTCTCGAAACATTTGCTAAATAGTTTTCGAGATTTTTCGTGTAGTCGAATCCCGTTTCAAACACAAAAATGGTCGACCGGTCACCATGGCTACACCATGGCACAATTACACGACAAACCCCATCTCACATCTAATGCCTTCTAGACGTCCACGAGGCATCTATCTTGCATTCATAATGCAAATTAGTGCACTCTAATTCCGAGATTTACCGCAAAAAAATATTGCAAAAGAAGGCCTTATTCAGGGACGATATAGTGAACATAAGGTAACTGTTGTATGCCCCCTATAGTGCGGCAGGATTTCTATTGGCGTCGCTATATGAACGGCAGAGGTCGCTGCGATCAGTCTCGTAGATACTATTTCTATGCGCGATTCATCCCCCGTTTCGCTGCTGCTTTGTGGCACTTGATTGTCTCGTACGAGGATGCAGAGTTTACAATACCATCTCGTTAGTACCAATTGGGATGATGCAATAGAGATTTTGGCTTTTTTGTCCATTTTGACTTTTGCTCTCGCGGAAAAATTTAGCTATACATGGGAGAGATGAACGCGAAATTGAGTAACGTAAAAAAATGAAAAGCCAATACACAAATGAGAATATTGACTTACTCGTGCTACTATGTTGATTCTTGTTACTTTTCGCCGATATACTATGGTTGAATAATACTTTATGCTCATGTATTTTTTCTGAAACACAAGTGAGTACGATATAGATGAACACGGGGACGTGTAAAAGAAATCCTTAATGATAGATTGTACAATGACATGACAGTGATGTAAGACGTAGCGCGGCAGATAAAACAAGCGGACATCTCATTAATTATTAGTATTCAACGTTTCAAATCTTTATTTCCTATCACAATCAGATTCACAATCTATTCGGTGGGAAATCTATAATGATGGGAAAATCTCTCGCAGTGTACGATCGCAGCCCTGCTTTAGCGATGGGTGCAGCTTTCGGAGTTGCTTCTGTAAAAGGTGTCTATATTGATATTGTTAGTGATTTTTTTTCTTATAAGGTAACCGCAGTTCGCGACTGGGGATTATACTTTATATTTTTCTTAACAAACTTGATCGTAGCATTGTTTGAATAAATACATTCCTGTTGTTATAATGAATTAATTTATTCTGCAAGATTAATCGACCTAGAATGCCGAATGCACAACTCGCAAGTGTTAAATAAGGTTGTAACAATATTTTATGTCCACTTAAAATTTAATTTCTTACGAAGCAGACGTTTAATATTTTTCGATCAGTCCGATAAATTCCTAGCGTGTATACGTGAATACGTAATAAAGTGCATGCGTTCATATCATCTCCGTTAACGTTAGTATTAACTTTGGATGTTCGGAAAACATGATGCATCACTTTCAAGTACGATGGCAGTTGCCTAACCCACCCTAGCACCACGACTAATGATTGTTGACTGTAATCTACACTGACAACCCTTGATGATCACAGAGCATGCCTGCCCAGCAGGTCCCTAGGCTGAGCGAATGTTGTTGTCGAGGACAAAATGTCCAAGAAATAAATCACATGTAGGATAGAGTTAGGCTGAAGAGATAATTTGTAATTTGTAATTGTTTGTGTGAATTGTAATTTTTTCCATTATTTATTCTCTTTAATTACGAGTGTTACTTACAATTATTACCTAAGCTTGTTTTATATTTTGCTCATACGCCTATGTCATTCGCCTAGAGGCTACGCCGTGCGCTGCTGTGACATTTAGAAACCTCATCCTCGTCACGCGTAGCAGTTATTCTCAACATTAGCTCCCGTAATATACGGTCGACGCATCTGTGCGAGGGATGCTGACTCGTTTCATACTTAATCTGCTATGTTAATAAGCTCGGTTAATAGGATCTGCTTCATCTGCGCATAGTTGCGTGTCCATGATCGATGATGACGATTACCTGTACGCTGCGCGCGCGTTTGTGCGTGCGTGCGTGTGTGCGCATTTGTGCGTGCGTGTGTGTGTGTGTGTGTGTGTGTGTGTGTGTGTGTGTGTGTGTGTGTGTGTGTGTGTGTGTGTGTGTGTGTGTGTGTGTCGCGCGCGCGTGTGTGTGTGT